AAACAAGTTTACTATAATATATTTTATTATAATATATTATATATTAATAAATAAACAAGTATGTTATAATCGTTCTAATATATTTTATAATATATAATACAATCTTTTAATATAATTGTTATAAACAAGTATTAACCAGTATAATATACTTGTATATAGGAAGAGAAAAGTATAATACACTTGTTTCTCTCAACAATATAAACAAGTTACTTGTTTATATATTCTATTTCAAGCACTGACTATAAAGGATTTCTTTATAAAATTTATTTCCAACAAATTTCATTGTGATACTATTCACCGTTAGTTACCCTTTTTTTTAGATGGACCACCTACTTGCATCTATCTTTAAGATGGATGCTTTATACCTTTGGATCGCATATTATAAAAATGTGGTCTAGCCCGCATCAACTTTTCTTAATTAATTAAATATATTATAGTAATGTGGGGGAGGAAATGTTTTGTGTTCTCACAAGACTAAATTATAGATTTATTTTTATAACAGAAAAATTATTAGCTTTTAGAGCAAATTTGTAAATATATTCTTACTGAAATTCTTAATTTTTTTATCTAAAAAAGTATAGTTTCGTAAGTGTCTGACCCGTAGAAGTATTTATACATAATCCTCCAATAAGTTCATATGTGATATTGATTGCTTTCAACCCCATGACATTTCTTACATACGTACGTGAGGCAAATTTGCCAAGTGACATTAGATATTTATGTAAAACCCCTCTTTTTTTTAGAATCAAAAGAGAAATTTTTGTAAAACCCCTCTTTCTTTCTTTTTTTTTGAAAAATAAAACCCCTCTCTCTTTCTCGTCTCTTGATTGAAACTCTTCTCACTCTCTCTCATCTCTCTATTTGAACCCATCTCTCTCTCACTTTCATCTCTCTCATATCTCTATGGAAACCCCTCTCTTATCACTCTCTATAACAAGGAGCCATGAGTTTTCCATATCTTTGGAGGCTTGTCTAGATTTTTTATTCTCTCTACAGATATTTTGTTCTCTTCCCCTCTGTTTGTTGAGACAGTGAGTCATGGTTTTGTTATAGTTGGACATCGTGTAAGCTTTTTCTATACATGTGGTTTTTCTTTGTATTTATATACATATCTATGTACTCTGTATGAAGGTTGCTTGAATATTTTTTATCGATAGTAAAAAGATTATAATTTTGAAAATCTCTCTCTCTCTCTTTCTCTCTCTCCCTCTACAACAACCATATATCAATGTTTCTTACTTTATTTCATAAAAAATGTGTCTTCCTCTGGACTCCACAAGTATATATTATAATATACATAATATATATATTATAAACAAGTATGATAATTATTATATATTATATAATTATAATTAAGGTAATTATATATTATAATAAACAAGTTCAATAAATATTACAATATATATAATAATAAACTTGTTTTATTACTATAAATTATACAATAATGTAATATATAATCATATAATATATTTTTATTTATATACTTGTTTCAATGTTTTCAAAATCGAACTGGAAGGTTAACAAGTTTTGGGGCTGGGAGCGGTTTTGTTGAGGAATGATGTCTTGTATTCTGAGGAAATATATCTGTCAACGTTTGGATATATCCGTACATGGGATTCGATATATCTGGGACTTGATATATATATTCGTACAATGGTATTTTTGTAATTTGTTGAGATTAGGCGTTCATCAAAAGTTAAGGGTTAAGGGGAAAACATAGATCTCTTTGTCATTAGATAAAGATAAAAACAGAGAGGGGTGAGGAAAAGAGCGATTTGTAACCCTATTCTCTACTGCCAGTAGAGAAGTTCTAATATCTCGTGGACGTAGGCACGTTGTCGAACCACGTATATCTTTGCGTTGTGCTTGGTTGTCTGTTTCTTTTGTGTTTGTTTCTTCTTTTTTGTTTTCGTAGATTGCCTTTCATTTCTACAGGTTTGAACCAAAATCGGACTAATCAAGGCGGTTAACCGTTTTAACCGATCAAGTTGTTTTTTTTAAAAAAACAAAAGGTAAAAAAAATACAAAAAAGGAAAGAAAAATATAAAAACTTAGATTAAGTGTATACTATTATATTACTTAGATTACAGAAAGTCAGGCCGCCAAAATATTTCAGTTACACAACTTGCGTAGCTATTCGCTCAATCCAACGGCATATATGGGTCGCAAACAACGTGATGCATGTCACTGACTTCTGAGACCTCTCGGGACTCGAGTTTGTCTTGTTCCGACTTATTGTAGTTACTTTATGTAGTTGTTTTTTTCTAATTTTCTCGGTTTATAATGAAAAAATAATATTACATTATTAAAATTATAATTTTCTTGTTTGCGGCATGCTTTGCCACATTTTTGCAGTTTGACATATATTGCTCTTTTCCACCCAATCTTGCTCACAACTACTGCTCAAAAACCCCCAAAACTGACATTAAAGTCATGGGGACACCTAGCTTTTGCGAGCACGATAGTTGGGGATAGTGCAACTTTAACTATAAGTTCCCATCCGCAATTCTTTATCCCAAATCACCCCACATAAAGTAAGGCCCTATAGCAATACCCATAAGGGTGGCTCGGGACTTACATAGGTACCCATAGAGACTTAGCCGCATTTCAACTTGTTCTTAGTAAGCAACCCCACCTTGGCCTAACCCACCCATATAAACTAGGTCAATATTTTTAAACCTTTTTGTGTACTATTTTGTATAGAGTAATTTTAGATAGAGAACTTGCTTGGTCTATCTAGGTAATTTTGAGTGTTTAGCCTAGCATATTTCGAGCATCATCTCTCAGGGTTGAACTAAGGTGAGATCCAATCCAAGTGTTAACCCCATGACCTCATCTTAGCTTAGGTCCAGGATGTTAAGTCAACTCAAGAGGAATCGTACAAATGCTAATATCCATGTGTGTAAATCTAGTCTCAACCTGCATGGAATCTTAATTAAGAGTTGCATGGGTGTAATTTTTGGACATTTAATTCAAAGATAAACATATGAGTAGATATGCCGCCAGTGGTCAAGATTAATCCAAGGATTGAAGTTAAATCAGGATCAATGGTCGTCAAGCACATACATGCTTATCAGAGGGAGGGACCCTATGAAAGGTCAATAGATATAATTTCAAGATATATCTGCAGGATATACCTCAAATATCACATATAGGGTAAATCAGGAGTTGCCATCAAAGGCCTCTATATGCATTGAAAGCCCTGAGAGCTGTTCATCAAATGCACAAATGGACTCACCTAAATACTATCAAAATATCTCAATATGAGGCTAAACTATGGAACTCATATTCCCATGGTCATTTCAAGCCTCTCCACACAGTATTAGAGATATTTGACGTAACTGATGTGTCTTGAGAGACTATGTTCGTCAAGTGGGTTTGACGAGCGAACCCCTGTGAAACCTCATCACTAATATAAAAATGAGGGCAAACTTTGCAGCTATTGATATTTAGCTATTGTAGATTTTTTTAGTAAAAAAAACACTGAAATTGGATACCATTTAATAAGATTTCCTTCACCGACCATCAAATATACTTAACTAACATCCTAACTAGTGATATGTGGGAATTGACTTGGAGTTATTGGGTAAAACATATTTGAGGCATGTTAAACCTCCTTCCAACATTTTAATATA